GTTGCAGAAACAAGACAACAGTAACACGAGAAAAACATGGTATACAAAGAGAAATAATTAAGTTGAGGAAGCAACTAGTCTGGTGTGGTCAGAACGAAGGAAAGGCAGTTGAGTAAGAGGGAGGGATTTGAGGTTTTCCAGAAATGGTTTGTTGGAGCCCCGTTTTGATGGGCCTTTAGTGAGTTCAGATCTTTGTACTACAGGAAAATTTTAAGTAGTGAAAAGAAATGATCTGATGTATATGAAAAAAATCACATGATGCCAGCATGCAGGAGAGTTGGGTTTTAAGAGTCAGGATAAAACCTTTGAAAGGTACAGGTACTGGAGACCTGGGCGGAAGGAGTAGTAGTGCCCAGCCCTAAGATTAGGAAGTAACTCAGTAACCACATAATAATTTTCCACATTCTACTTAGGCAAAAAGCAGATTTCTAATGACTTCAACGCTTTCCCCAAATGGACTGAGATAAGGCTACTCCAACTGGTGTACAGAATTTTCTGAAGGCAAACATCTGGCAAGATTGGACTTTTAAGACCTCCCCTAGAAAGCCACCCTTTTTAAGTGACCTCTACTCATAGCCAGTGAAAGAATTAGATGCATAATAACCATACCTGGACCACCATTCTGTTATTCTAAGCATTAGAAAAACTTAGTGCTCATGAGCACCCAATTTTTGTCTTTTCCTATTTCCATTTGGCCAAACTGTTAAAAGGCAAGACTTACTAACAGCACCCTCCTAACAAGAACTGCAGCCTTTTGCAGCAGGTGGTGCCCACCTCTGCCTACAGAATTACAGCCCAAACAATCTGCTTGGAACTACCGAGAAATTAGTAGAATGTGCTTCTGACTCAGCCTGTTAAGTAGGAGGACTGTTATTGTTATTTTAACTCCTGCCGGAGTATGTGGGCAACTCTCCCTCTTTCTGTCTCTAGTTAGCCATGAGACATCCCTCTTCAAAATCTCAACCCTGGAGTAGGTTCTTGCTCACTAGGAGCCTGAACAGTTTGAGGTCTGGGTATGACTGCCAGCTGATAGTACAGATTAGGATAGGCTTTCATAAAGAGACCATCTGACATCCTAATTTACCAATATTATTTATTTTTAGAATGTTGAATCTGCCTTTAAAATTATTCACATAGAGTGCCATGGACCAGAGCTAAATGCTGATGAGACAATAATCAGTACAAGTCAAGGTACTTATTTTCAGAGAATACAGTGAAAATACCATGTCTTCTTTCTCTTTTCCTTAACCGTTCCGGTATTGTGGTCCTACTGTGTGTCTTTCTCTTGCCAAATGTTCACAACAATGTCAACACTCATCAAGTGCTGCTCCTAAGGAATATTGTAAAAATAAAACAAAAAATCATCCTGTTTTATAGAAAATTGTCTTAAAGGCTAAACTTCACCCATCTGTGAATGATGAAAAGGTATAAGTATATTCTGAAAATAAAGTAAAATCTACGCAATGTCAGGTTGTAGCAAATCTTGTTGTTTAGATAAAAGACTGCGTGGAATAACAAAATAAGTATTTTTTGTTCTTTTAAAATGGTTTCCTCATTTCTACCTCGCTGATTTGTCCCTAATTTGTCTTTGTGTTTTTGGTACTAAAAATTAAGATTCAGGATTACATATTAGTAGAATAAAGTTTTGTTATAATGCTATAGAATTATGTGTCAAAACATCCATGAAAGCTTTTTAGGGTTTCAGAACTGTTGCACTCTATTAGAAATAAACTGAAGGAATCTTCAAAAGGGCAACAACTATCACTGATGTGCATTAAGGATACTGTGTGTGCTGAGCATCGTTTCATAGTAACCCTTGCATGCTCATTCAGTCCTTCAACAAGTGAGGGTCCTCCAAGATAAAGACACTACTCTTGACACAGCTCAGAATGTCAAACAGTCTCTGCTCTCAGTGGGAGGACAGCATGTTGAGTGATGTCAGAGAGGTAGATGGGTTATATAGCACCTTGCTGGCCACAGGAGTGTGGGCATTATTCTGACTGTTACAGGCAGCCACTGGTGAATTTTGACCAAGAGCTGTATCAATGGATTAAGATCTATTAAAGATCACACTAGGTGAACAGCAGGTTATAGATCAGCAAGATCAAGCACAGGAGGCTACTGCACTAGTCAAGGTGAGAGGGTGGATTTCAGTGATACAGGTAGAAATAATGAGAAACATCGAATTCTGGACAGGGATGATCTTGGTACTATTGTCTGCTATGAGGCTTAAGGAAGTTGAACAGTATGTCTCCAAAAGACTGCAGAGGCTGGAATGAAACTAATTGTCAAGGCTGTTTACTACTCTATCATGTTTACATGTGGCTTTTGTGTCAAAGAGATGCTGATATATCAACCTTTACATTTAGAATTAAATGTATTAGGTTTGAAATTTTTAATTCTAAATTTACAGATTAGTAATAGCAAATGACTGCAAAGACTTTGTCATTTACAAAGCATTTTCACTCCTGTTAACCCATTCAATTTAATCTAATTGGCATAGTTAGATGACTGCAAAGCTAAACAATGTCAAGATAACAAAGCAAAAGAGAGATATCTAATTAAACAGTCACATTTATGGTATCACCAACTAAATCACTGCTGTTCCCAATAGCCTGTTTTTTCACTCTAGGTAGATATTGTGTCCTCTCTGTTTTTCTAACATCAGCCTTCTCAATTTACATAAAAGGATCCAAATAAATTTTGGTGGAATGAATTAAACTGCTATTTTTGTGTCCAATAGGTTAGGTGTCCCCAATTGTTTTCCTGGTAGGCAGCATAGCTTGAGAGTCTCAAAACAGTGAGTTTGACTCCAAGCTCTGCAATCACTATATGATCTTGAATAAGTTACCGGACATATTTGGGCCTCAATTTCCTCATCTGCAAAATTGCAATGCACTTTTGACCTGTGAGGCTGACGCAGTATCTTGCATTTACTCCTATTTTCTCAGGAAAGGTTAGTCTATCTCTTCTTTCTCCCCCAACTCTGACGGAGCAGTAATTTACTCCCTTCAGAAAATAAAGGTTATAAAAGAGTCTTTACCTATAAATCTTACTACTGTTTATTGACATTTATTTCACCTTAAACAAATTCTAGAATTAACTATGTTAGAGAAAATTAGAAAAAAAAACACATTTTTTAAAGAAGGTTGTCTCATGATTTTTGAAAGGAATTTGAGCAATTAACATGAGGCAAACAAGGCTTTTTCTTTTAACTATCTTTTAATTTCAAAGGTAGTATTTTATATTTGGAAATAGCATTTCATCTATGGGGAAATAAATCATATTTCAATTACTGTGTTATGGCAAAATCAGCGAATCATGAGTCCCATTAGTTAGCAAGATCCTTACAGCCAATTAAAAAAAAGTGCTTTTCTAATGAGAAAAAATAAAACATAAACCCGACTGGCATGACATCACATATTAAGAACTTTGGGTTTCTTATATATGAATCCTGAAGATGCTTTGATAGCCATGCTTAAACCATTTTAGCATTAAATCTTTTAAAGGATGAAAGTTATTTACAGGTAATATTAAATAATACTAAGCACCAGATGATTGAAACATTAAAATGAGTCAACTTGACGACAGAATGAGTCAACCGGATCTTCCTGTATCAATATGGATGGAGCTCTAAATATAATGTTAGGTGAAGGCAAGCTGCAAAAGAATATTTACGGTATGATTCCATTCACGTAAACTTGTAAAATGCAGGCAGTTATATGGCACATTGTTTCATACAAGTCATTAAAGTATCATCTTCAGTGTTGTACACCTTTTAGGAAGAGAGGAAGGGGAGCTTTTGCTGTTTCTGTGATGGTTTATTTCTTTAGAAAAGATTTGAACACCATACAAGGTGATCACTTCGTAAGGTGTATAAAAGCCTAATCACTGTGTTGTATACCTATAACTAATATAATAGTGTCTATCAACTATAATTAGAAGATAAATTTTTAAAAGATTTGAATAAAGCTGACTGTTAGCATTGGCTTAATCCAATGTGGTTGATATTTGGGTGTTCATTATAAATTTTCCATATTTTTCTTTGAAAATTTTGTAAACTTTCTTGATTAAAAATAAAATAATAAAGAAATAAAAACAGTACAGCATGTATTGCTGCGGCCAATTTAAAATGGGATAATCAGTACCACTAGTAAAAAGAAATTAAGTTAAAATGCATTCTTCGTTTCCTAGAGTAAAAAAATCATTCATTTGTATTCTTTCTGTAATATTATTCCACTTTTATTATAGAAATTTTGAGTTTAAAGAAAGATGAAAAAAAAGGAAAATATTCTTTCTGCTTGTAAATCGAGCTAAGTATATACATTTCTTTACTCATGCAACAATTTGAAAGTAACAAATACAAACCTAAAATAAATGTTTGCCTACTATGGCTTTTTCAATAAATGCATTATATATTTTTTCTTCCATAAATTCAGATAGAACCAACTCAAAACATAGGTGGGTCTGATTGCTAGACATTTCTACCATGACATGAAACTAGAATAGCAGCTGGGGCTGGTGATCTTTCCAGTGTCTGCGGCTCCCAGATCCATGTATACAACCTTGGGTGAACTACATCTACCTACCTCCTCTCTCTGCCTCATGCCCCTAATCTGTAAAATGGGGATGACCCCTGTTCTTTACTCATAGGGTTGTTGTAAGGAATAAATGATTTAACTTATGCAAAGTAAGTCATATAGGATCGTCTGGCAAATGTTGAGAAAATACTACTGGTATTGTCATCCCTAACAGAAGTGACAGGCTTAGTTTAATCCTCACTTCAGAAAAAGATCTTTTCATTTGTTTATTACTGAATCTTTCAAAACATTAAGTGCTATTTTAATGATCCTAATTCTATGAACTGTAGAATTCATGTGTATTTCTCCCTTATCAAAATGAACTGATATTTATTTAATAAAGATTTTTAAAAATATATTGTTAACAGTTATTTTTCACAATTGTGGGCAACTTTTCATTGTAAAGAGGATGGGACTTACCTATTCAAGGAAGAGTAATATGGTAAGGTTTGTTATGTTGTGTTCTCAAAGGGTTAATAATAGGTTCTGGCTTCCTTCTGTAAAAAAAGAATTTAGGAAATTAATAATTTACTCTCTGATCCATATAAATTAATTACATCACATGAATAAATACCAAATTCAACTTGTGTCTTTCTCTTTTTGTACTGGGTAACTATGAGACCATGAGATAAATTTCCGGATGGTTCTTTATAGTCAAGACATTGAGTATTTACAATCTGCCAGGCACTCTTTCAGGTATTTGGAATAGAGCAGTGAAAATGCTACTGTTGCACACTTTTTCTCACTTTTCAGCTTCATTCCAGTGAAGCTACGTTAAGTACTATATCGAAAAAATTTTTTAAATTGTTTTTAGCTAATAAATAGCAGGCATTTGTATTCTCTCCCAAGAGAATGTGTTCATCCTGGTAAATTGTTAATTATACCCAGTTAGCTTTAGCGATCTGGGCCTCTAGCCCAGTTCGTATTGACTCTCTCTACCGCAGGATGGAGAGGGCTTTTTTTTTTTCCTTAACAATGAATTAAATTTTCTCTATAGATACTAAACTTCTTTTGACATTCAGAATCCTAAAAGTCATTTTGGATTAGTACTTCTGCTTAGAAATTTCACTAGAATAATACAGAGTACTTCTTACTAATATGGTACCTAGAAAAAAATACAATTACTAGAAGGCACTGGGCTTGTTTTGCACCTCATAAGCCATTCAGGTGTAATCATCTTCACCTATGGAGGAGACTACAAAGGGCAAACCATACAAGAATAAGTGTCCTTAAAGGCAAGGGGCAGAGTTGCGGCCCAGCTGGAAGTCCTGCTGTCTTAAAATAGGTGTCTAAATCTATGCGCATCTCCATGTGTTTTCGCCAGAGCCAGTGTGATTTCACCCCTGGAGGGTGGACCCCATCATATCCTCAAGGAAGATGTTGCTTTACAAGGAGCCCTCTAAGGCTCAAAATGAGATTGATAGCTATTAATTCTTCTCCAAGGCCCAGTGGGAAAGCAAGTGTGGAAAGACAACAAGCAGGTGGCTCAGTTCTTCTCCATGACCTCCCCAAGAACAATGGGTATATGGACATGAGCAGACAAGGGTTTGATTAAAAAATAACAAGAGTTTATTGGCACAGAAACCACATCCACTCGTTTCCATGTTGTCTGCAGCTGCATTCCTGCTGCACTGCCAGACTGAGGAGCTGTGACAGAGACTGTATGGCCCTTTACATATTTATGTATGGCCCACGGTATTGACTGTCCCTTTACAGAAAACATTCACGGACACTTATCTATTACCAAAGAACATGTTCATCATTTGAGTAATATTAAGAACAATCTTTTAAAAATAACATCCTGTCTTTTACAGTCTTCCCAAAATTAACTCAATAGTTATATGAATGAAAATAAAATTTCTGCCATAAACACTTAAAAACTAATTTCATTCCAGCAGAATTTAGGAATTATTGGGCAAAGAATGAGATGACTGTTAAAAAATTGAAGGTACCCAATTCGTCATAAAAAGAATGGCCAATTTATCTATCATCCTGACCTTTGCGTTTCTTTGTTTGTTATAAAATTAAAATGACTATTTTTCTGGACTTTATTTATGATCGAGAGATAAATACCATCTGGGATTTTTTTTTTAAGAAGCACTTACAGCCTATTCCATCCAGCACATAAAATTGAATCGTCATTTTAAATTAATACAGTGCAGTTAGAAGTGATCATTTTTATCCCATATAAAAAGGATTAACTTACTTTAACACAGTTTGCATTATGAGTACTATTTGGCACAGTTTTAGTACTTGTTACATTATATACAGTGAATACAGCATCCCTAAAACAATATTAGCAAACATTTATGTAGCATTTATTATGTGCCAGAAAATATTTGAAGCACTTCGTATGTATTAGTTCATTTATTCCACACTATCACCCTCTAAGACCGGCAATTATTGTTATCCCTACTTAACAGATGGGAAAACTAAGGCAAAGACTTGAAATGCCCTTCTTGGCACGACACAGCTAGAAAGTGACTAACCTTTCAGCCATATACCAACTCTTTATAGACCCTGAGGGTTGGTTTTAGGTCTTTAATTCTGGTTAAAGACCTTTCCAAGCATAAAAGCTTTGTGAGAAGTGGTATTTCAAGAATGGCAACTTTCAATTTTCTAGAAATACTAAGCACATATATTATTCAGCATATTCAGCTTCTTGAACAAATTGGAGTTTACTCAGCTGTGATCCAGTCTCTGTCCTCTACTCCATTTTTTCTACCAAGTTTGCTTATGCCCCATTCCAGAACCTCTTAGCACTGGGTCTAAACATTGTTGAGAATCAGGACTGATAATACCCGACAAAGCCAAGTGGTTAACAACTATCTTTAAGGGCTAGCCCACACTTGTTGAGAACAGAAAGAGCACTGGCTTCACAAAGTCAGGTGAGTAAATCGGTTAAAGAGGAACCCAAAATAAACACTTGTTTAACTATAAACAAAAGTTATCAGGTGATTACTCAGATAAATAAGATGTGCATACAGTGAACTCAGGCTGCATATAATACAAGTTTGGCTGTTGGCATATTTATGTGCCAGTTATGTGACACCTATGGCAGTCAAGTTAGAATCTTGTGACGAACATATTCCCAAGATAGAGCTTTGTCAACTGATAGAAGAATCATGTTTAATTCATTAATGAGGAAAATATTGCCAAGGGATTTATTAAGCAACAAAGTCAAGACAAAATCTTCCCTGGATTGTTAGGCCAGGATATGCTTTGCATTAACCTTTGAAACATTCTAGCATAAGTATCATTTGGTTATTTTTCATGTTTTGATAGACTTTGTCAGATAAGCTGAACATTGAGATGCTTGAAGTTGCTGGAATCCTGAAGAGCCGATGGCTAAACTTAGCTTCATTGGCTAGCATCAGCCTATTCCACAGGCTCTCAAACAGCAATAACATATTCTCCATGTCCTCCATCAATCTGCTCTATGAGATTTTGAACAGTTCGTGTAATTCAGTGCACTTGTCCAGGACAACAAGACTTCAACTACTGGGAACTGAACTGCCGATACTCTTGGGAAAATACCCACCGCCCAAGCAGTCTTTAACTTGAGCAATGGCCAACATAAAATCATCTAGTCTAACATGCCACTAAACCATTTCTATTCCCTAACAGGTTCTGAAGCAGTTCATTACCTCTACTTATTTGTTAGTAGCTGAAAGTCAAGGTGAACCAAAACCACTGACGGTTTTAGGAGAACATTCTGTTTCTGGCCAAGGAAACATACTTCAAAATATACGTTTGAAAGAATTAAGGATGCTTAACAAAAGCTCTGTACAAAACGTATGATCTCAAGTTGTCCAGAGAATCTAGGTAAGGTAGAGAGTAAGAGTTTTCTCCTTTCATCCCCAAACCTGCTACTTCAGGTATTGCCAAGGACTAGCAGACTGGGTTAAACCGACTTAGTAGAAATAATCTAGTCTAGCTGAGAGCATCTCAATACAGTTCAAGGCAATAAAAAAAGGAGACAGGATTGAATTAGCCAGAAAAGTCAGGTTTAAGTCTCAGAGTCTTTCTATATTAAAGGTTTACATCCTGTTCATACAAATCCTGATATGAGTAGGGTAATTCTCCAGCCCGCCTTTCTTTCTCCCATGCAGCGACCTAGCAACTGGGGCGTGTTCCTCTTGTGGCTCAACCCAGGGCCCCCAGGGCAGCAGGAGGAAGACGCCGAGGGCTGTGCCCTGGCTCTCAAATGCTTTAACACAGAGGTGACACACAGCACGTCCTCTCACAGCCCACTGAGCTCAACTAGCCACATGGTTCTGCCTGAATGCAAGGGACAGAGAGAGGGGCAGTGTAAATGGAGATTTGCTGAGCAATAAAAATCTCTGGCAAGAGTGAAAGAGGCATGCTATGCCCAGTAGCTACTGTAGGGTCACGTTTGGATTCCTTACTTTTACAAAAAGAGATGAAAAGAAATAATGCTCCATGATAGCAGCTCAAATCTTATTTTGCAAAAATTGTTAACACGTGACTCTGAAAATATGTAAATATAAATAAATATTTTATCTTATGAGTGAACTGGCACTGTGATATAGAGAACCGTGGGCAGTAGAGGGACACAGGTGCCAGTGTTTTCACTTATTTTTATATTACACTGCTGTTTTCTGCTCGCATTCAGAATACACATGAAGAAACAACACTTCTTTGCTTGACAGAAAGCCACCTGTTCATTTGTTCCTAATTTTCACACAAACACTGACCACTTTTAAATTGGAGAATAAATTAATGCAGATACGCAGGTTCATGAAGTATAAAGAGAAGAAACAGAGGATGTCACAGACCTTACCTTAGTGAAAAACATTAAATTTCTAGGCCAACCCTCAAGGGCTTCTATACCATGACCGCACCCTACTTTTTCAACTTTACCCCCAACTTTCTACACCATCACAAACCCTCACACATCCTTTGGTGTGTCCTTTTGTAGACCTACTAATTACCCTTTTCACTTCACCTTCATATTTTTCTTCTCTCCTTCTGAAAAGCCCTCTTCTTTCCCTTTTTCATCTCTTCCTCTCACCTGTCTCCCCCTCCCTCCCTCCAGTCCGTCCCTCCTCTGGGTTTGTCAACTTCTAGTTGACACTGAAGCTCTTTTCTTAATGAAGTCTCGCCAGCTACCTCTAGAAAGGTCTCTGGTCTCTGTCCACGGGCGTGTGGTTTATGTTTCTGTCACTTATTTGGCATTCATATGAACTACTTGTATTGTTAATTAAGGCTCCTTAACATTGTGAATTAAGGCTGCTTAAAATCAGAAGGTCACATCCCTGGCCTTTTTTTACTACCTTATTTCAATCCTAGAAGCCACTGGTTTCTATCAAATATATGACTTTTTCCCCCCATTAGTATTTTCAATTCAAAATGAATACAAATAAAAGACAAAAATACTAAGCCATATAAAAGTCGACCACGCATTTCAAGTCAGGCTGCCATGTTACCAAATTTCCCCAGGAAGAGGCAGCACTTACACTCCCATCACTGTCCA